AGAGAAGAGCAACAAAGATAATTAGGGGACTGGAGGCTAAAACATATAAAGAACGGTTGCTGGAATTGGGTATGTCTAGTTTAATGAAGAGAAGGACTAGGAGTGATATGATAGCAGTCTTCCACTATCTAAGTGATTGCCACAGGGAAGAGGGAGTCAAGCTATTCTCCAAAACAATTGAGTGCAGGACAAGAAACAATGGAGGGAAACTAATCAAGGAGAAAAGCAACCTAGAACTAAGGAGAATTTCCTGACAGTTAGAACAATTAATCAGTGGAACACTTGCATCCAGAAGTTATGAATGCTCCAACATCGGAAGTTTTTAAAAAGAGGTTGGACAACCATTTGTCTGAAATGGTATAAGGTTTCCTGCCTGAGCAGGGGGTTGGACTAAAAGACCTCCAAGGTCCCTTCCAACTCTATTATTCACCCATAGGAATGTCATTTTTTTTCCTCTTAGGGGGAGGATGTCATTTTGGATTTGAAATGGTTGGAAATGACTGCAGATTTCACTGCCACTAAGAATGACTTTGAAGATTAGTTTCTCTCCCTAATAGCAAGAGGTGAGGTTCATCCCTATTAATAATGAATGTTAACCCTGTTGGTTAGGCTTAAACAAAATGTCACTCACTTGAGTGCCAGTGGCCATGGAGATGCTACTGGCATTGGAGGACATAGCTGGGACTGCTCAGCTGGTGAAGTCAGGAGTCTTAACTTTTCTCTACAGTACAACTCTCATCCAAAAACTGTAAGGCCAGCCTCAGGATTGCCAACCGCACCAACTTGCTCCAGCTAGGTATTTGGCAGGTGAAAGCAGGTTGCCCTCAAGATTGGTGAAAAAGGATGATCTTACTCAGTAGTCAACAGCAAAGGAAAAGGGTGACAATTTCTGCCAACAAACTCACAACAAGGGCATCCTAGAGATAAAGAACAGACCTGATTAAATTCCTCATTGTATGGCTAACCTCTCCATTTCATTTGACCAGTTTGCTTATTTTCCTCTGACTATTTCCCCTGATAATACAAATTGATTTTGTTTTCTGAAAAGAAAAGTCTATTGTGTAGCTACATCAGCTTGTTGACTAATTAGTGGGGAGTAGTTTAGAGTCAATACCTGGACTCGGGTTGATAAGCAGATAGAACAAAGCATTCATGCTTCCATACATGAAAATGTGGTATGGGGATGGATAAGAGGCTCAGAGACCCAGAAATCAAATAATCCCAACATATATATAGTGGAAACCAAGGGAGGGAAGGATGACAAAGAGGTGAAATGAGGATTTGCCCAAATAATTGAGAAACGTGCTACTTTTCTTCTATTGATTGAATTGGTTTATCTTCCAAAAAGTGGACAATTTCGGGAGCCAAATCCCACTGATGTGTATAGTTAGAAAAGGTAGGGGGAAAAATTGTAGTAAACTATTCCTGCACTGGTGGTAAATTTAAGAAATGGAAAGAACAAAGGTTGTTAAAGAGGAACTGATCTCTATTAACTAAGGAGTAATATGAATTCTAGGATTTGTAATTAGGGTCTGCAAGAACTGTAATGATTTCTAATATAAACTCCCATTAGTATATAGGGATTTGCTCCATGACAAGTTTTTTTATTTTCTTACTTCATATTAATATAATGCCAAGACTAATTATGTTAGACTATTTAGGTAGCTGGAACCATTAAGGAGTCTCAGCTAAGTGTGGAAATATGTATTTTACTAAGATGATGCTCAGTTACTGAATAAATGCTGGAGTTTTTATTCAGCAGGCATTTGAGAGTAGATGAAACATGTCCCTTTGTCTCTGATTCCATTTTACCTCATAAAAGTCCTATGTGTTAAAATGTTCTAAGACAGAAAGTACTGGAACAAAGTTTCCCTAGTGAATGAATAGCAATTTTAATCCCAAACCCATCCACCCCCAAATCCTAATTTAACATACTCTATCATATCCTAAATCATCCTGAGGTTAGTTTTGAGAAACTCTACATTGTATTGTTTATGTTGCCTTGACTCTCACGTATCAGATATTGTAGATATAAAACCAGCAAACATGGAAGAGTTGACAGAAGTGATTACAGCTGCAGAATTCCATCCGCATCACTGCAACACCTTCGTCTATAGCAGCAGCAAGGGGACAATAAGATTGTGTGACATGCGAACGTCTGCTTTGTGTGACAGACACTCCAAATGTGAGTATGGTCCAGGCATTTGTCGAAAGACATAGAAAAGGGAATGTTGAAAATGAATTTTGTGTTAATTTGTATGGAAGGATTTTCCCTAGCATATAAAAGAAAAATACATATGTTGTATTTTTTGTATTGTCTGTGATCCGTGGCCTCCATTTATCTTTGTTCAAGATAAAGCTATAAGAAGAAAGTAACCTCTTGCTTTGGTGATCAATGACTCCTTCTACTTTGCTAACTAACATGGGGAATGGTTCATTCCTTTGCCTGTCAACCCATCCTACTGGAACAAGCTGCATCCAGAAAACACTTCCATAACTAATTAATTGGATTCTCGAGTATCTTTTCTGGATTGTTCAGTGTCAGACTGGAAGTTCAAAATATACAGAAAATGCCTGGATGGCGCAAGAGGAAATGGCACAGACAGTGGACTGTTGATTTCATGCATTCGAAATCTGGTTACGCCACTAGGTTCTGTCACTATGAAAGAGAAAAATGGAATGGTTACCATGAAGGATCCAGTTTAATTCTATTTTCTTTCAACAAGGGATAGCGTTTCTTCCATTTTTCACTTGAAAAATTTTAGAAACGGAATTGCTTACCAACTTCAGAACATTTCAGAATGTTTGAAGTTCAACCATTGACTAAAATGGAAAATTTGGAACTCAGGTAGAAATATTAAATTATGGTCTTATTTTGCTTAACAGAGGTGAATGAGCACATCTGTGTAATAGAATTGGAATGGAAATAGAGGTTTCATTCATTTTCAATCTCTGAAAATAGAGGTTGAATAGAAATTGTTAAAGTTAATCTCAATAAAGTTAAATTAGTCTAAAACCTTTTACAGATAAAGAGTTTAAAGTGAGGAATTATTTATTTTGACTCGATGTAACTGAAGTGGTTCCTTCAGGTTTTGTTGTTGTTTTGTGAGTTCTTAGATAATTGTCTCTACTAAGTCACTTCAACACTGGAAGTTTTTAGGAAGAGACTGGACAGCTATCTGTCCGAAATGGTGTAGGGTTTCCTGCCTGAGCAGGGGGTTGGACTCAATGACCTCCAAGGTCCCTTCCAACTTTATTATTATTATTATTATTATTATTATTATTATTATTATTATTATTATTATTATTATTATTATTATTATTATTATTATTATTATTATTATTATTATTATTATTATTATTATTGCTTACGCCAAACAAATACAGATAGCATTTTGGATAAGATGACGGTTTGATCCAGACATGATAAATTATGACTTACTAGAAAAAGCAACACAAGTTTTAGTTTGTTTCTTCAGGGGAGCAAATCAGAGGCATTTGGTTCTAATTTGCATAAAATTATTCTTTGACTTAATATCCAAGAATGTAATCACCTATGTCCACAAATCATAGCTTGCCTGTAAACCAGGGTGATGCCTTACATCACAAGTGAAGTGACTGAAACAATAATCCAGATTAAGAGAGGCCCCCACTTGTTCCTGCAATGATACATCATAGTTTGGTGCTAAAGCTGAACCGATTTATATCAGCTTTTCCTATACCACATGTTCCATTCCTTGAACAAGATCCACATTTTGACTTCTATAAATATTGATCGATTTCCTAATATAAACATGATCAATTTCCCAAAGGTTTTGTGACCATCGATTATTCTTTTAAAGTACATTCTCCTTCCTTTTTTGAACTATTAAAGTATAGTTTGGGATGAGAAATTAAATCCCAAAGGTGATGTCCTTTTAGGATTAAAAAAGTTTCCAGTGCCTGTATTTTTACTGTCATTTACAGTGCTCTTTTGCTACCAAATCAGTTCCTAACCTCAGTTCCTAACCTCTAATAACCAGGTTCTTGAAATGATCTCTTCAGTCTTATCTCTCTCATTTAGTGGGAAATGCCATGGCAGCCAATTATATGGCTGCTGCAAGTGGTCTGATTGTATCCTGATATCTATCGTTCGAATTTCTTGATTAGCCTGGGTTTATTTTCACTCCGTCTTCCCACTATCTGATTACTGTAAAATAGACAGTTCAGTTCAGATTAAATATATTAGTAATAAGACACAAGCTGGGATCATTTCCTTCCTTTTCCAGCAACAGATCCCTTGACTTGGTTAGCATTATTCCTTTGTTCTGCTGCTGCTGCAGTGTCCTTTAAAGCACATTCAAAGCAATTGTGAAAACAAGTTCAGATTGATCTCTCCCTTGACGGCCGATATTGATTTTTTTTTTCCCCTATCCTTCAGAAGTGCTGCTCCTCAGTCGATTGTGATTCAGCAGACCTAGAAGTTGGAATTTAGGCTGTTCATCAAGATTCAAAATAAATGCAATTCTGGCCTTTAAAGATGATCTTCCCTAACCCCAAAGGAAATCTTTTATAAACATGTTTTAATCAGCATCTTCTCTAGCACATTCCTGATCTGTGGTTTATTCCTCAGTATCAATTTAAAAAGCCAACTCACAATTCTTCTCTGGACAAAGAGCATTCTTGTCATAAATGTGACTGTTTGCATCCGATGAGCTGTCCTGGATCTTTAATGAAAAGAAGGACTAGGAGTGACATGATAGCAGTCTTCCACTATCTCAGGGGCTGCCACAAAGAAGAGGGACTCAAGGTATTCTACAAAGCACCTGAGGGCAGGACAAAAAGCAATGGGTGGAAACTAATCAAGGAGAGAAGTGGAACGACTTACCTCCAGAAGTTGTGGATGCTTCAACACTGGAAGATTTTAAAAAGAGATTGGACAAACATTTGTCTGAAATGGTACAGGGTTTCCTGCCTGAGCAGAGGGTTGGACTAGAAGACCTCCAAGGCCCCTTCCAACTCTGTTATTCTGCTAATATACTTTTGTACCATACTCTGCCATCTTCATTGGCAAGTGTGCCAGTAGTCTCTTTCCTTACCGCCCCTGTCCTTTCTCACTTGGGAAACATACATTAAATGCATTAAATAGGACTGTGCAGCAAGTGCTGCTGCATCTCCCTGAAGGCCAGTTCTGATTGGTGCCACTGGAATTATGCAAACTCATCTTTGAACCACTTCACCATTTATAGATTCTACTTTCAGACTGCATTCCTCTTCCTCACTGGTATTTGTAAGGTTTGGCTTAGTAGAAACATTCCTTACCTGACACAATGTAGTGAGATATAGTGCCTAGGGCAGTGGATAGTTGGCAAAAGAAGGAGAAATGGGTTAGGGAAAACTGGAGCTTATACATACAGTTGATTTCAAAACAGTTGTATTTTTAATGGGGGCAGTAAGCAGGAAGTCTTCACTGAAAGGGAAAATCTAGGAAGAGAAATGTAAGGTCTTCACTTTTTTTTCTCAGTTGCCAGGTCAATTTTGCAGGTCTCGAAGTAGCCGAACATCCTTCCAAATCACAAACCATTTTTAACCTGTTTCAGGTTCTCCTCTCCAGTTCTGTGGGTATATGCCCTGAGATTGTCTTATGATGTCATGTCTCTTCATGGCCCACACCATCCTCACCTGGTGAATATGCCCAGCAGTTTGATAGTCTGCCATCTAATGCCTGCCTCCAGAAGCCAGCAGCCGATCACATTCACCATTATTATTTTTAAGTCACCCAGACCATGTTCACTGTTGTTGTTGCCTTCTACTCTCTTTTTCACCCCCTTTCTCTACTCGCTTCAATCCAGCAACACTCTTATTATTCAAACATATATCCCAACTCAACTTCTATCACTGTCTCTTCTTTCATTCTCCATCACTGACTTCTATCACTTTCTCCATTTCCATCTCTTCTGACCACTGGAATAACAATCTACCGACACTCAGAGCAATTTTGGGGAAAAAAATAATGACAGAAGAATGGTCAAACCCTTAATTAAGAACTAGTTGAAGACACCACCCATTGATCAAAGGTGAACCTCATGGTTGCTTAAGCATTTGGTGCTGATTTCATCACTGTAAGGAAAGAGCTGACGTATCTGACGTGTGGGGGCAATAGATACTTAGTACTACAAGTATGTAGTCCTTGACTTAACAACTATTTGTTTAGTGACAAATAGTGACAAATTTCTATGGCACTGAAAAAGTGATTTATGACCATTTTTTCACACCTACGGCTGTTGCAGCATCTTCGTAGTCATGTGATCAAAATTCAGTCACTTGGCAACTGGCATGTATTTATGACGGTTGCAGTGTCCCAGGGTCATGCAGTCACATTTTGCGACCTTCTGATAAGCAAAGTCAATGGGGAAGCCAGATTCACTTAACAACAGTGTTACTAACTTAATAACTGCAGTGATTCACTTAACAACTGTGGCAAGAAACATCATAAAATGGAGCAGAAGTCATTTAACAACTGTCTTCCTAACCACAGAAATTTTGGGCTCAAATATGGTTGTAGGTTGAGGATTGCCTGTACTACTACCTCTTCTTTTTTCCTCCTCCTCATTTGTTCCACATAATTGCAGATTCTACTTCTTGTTATACTTTGCTTACCCGGTTCTTACAGAAAAGCTATCAATGCATGACATGATGAGGGTTTCTGTTTATCAGCTGGCCTTTTGAAGAGCCTGATACTAATCAGAGGTGAGGCAAAATGACTTACTATTAGGTCACCCAGGTAGTTTCTGTCTAGAATCTGAGACTCCCTGCTCCTAGTCCCAGGACTTTAACCATCAGACCATACTTGCTCTCAGGAATGATATAATGTATGGAATGTTAACTCAGTTCTTCATATCATATTTCCTTGGTAGCATTTGTGTAACTTAGAAGCATAAATAACCAGCAAACAAAATCTGCTTCTGGGCATCAAAGCAGCTTTCTTGCTGAAACTTCGTTGTGCTCTTGGATTCCAGAAGAGAAGCCATTCTTTATAAAATTATCATGTTCTTGGCAGGTAGCCAGAAGATGGAGTGGTCTAGGTTTCCTTCCCAGGGCACTGTCAAGGGTGACATCTCTGAACAAAACTGTGACAGAGAAATAAGATTCCTGGAAAAAGAAATCCAACTTTTTAAATGTCTCTACTGTTGTTCAATTTTTATT